CGTTGCCACAAAAAAATGCACATTTTTGCATTTTGTCTTTTATTTAAAATATTGTCGGTAATTCACCAAATTATTACGAAAATAAAACTAATAATAAGCGAGAGCGAATCAAAAAGAATGGGGGAATTTTTGCATCTTCGGTCACCAGTCCTGGTTTGCAAGCAGTCTCCGGTAGCAGTTCTAACATGCCCCAATTTCCAGTTATAGTGCTGTGGGGGCAGCAGTCACCACGTATTGTAACTGGCAGGAATGTTAGAGCCAAAATGGACTTCTTTCCTATTCAAAAATAAATTTTACCAAAAGAGAGATATGCTTGATATTTAACTAGACTCTCAGGAAAGCCCTAGGAGAACTATCGCCAGCCCCTCCAGGAAGTCTGCTCCACCAAAAACAGAGGAAAACAAACCTCACTAACGTAAGGAAACCCCAACAACAGAAAAGTGGCCTTACAAGACACCCGTGATTATCTAAGATATACCTTTGTTGTAATCTTTTGCATGGAAAAAATTAAAAAAGTATTTTCAAAGTCAGAAGTCTCAATGGTGTCATGAAACACTAAGATAATTAAGCTACGTCACAAGGGTTTCACATAACCTTACACGCTCCTCAGTGGCTAACCTCCTTTAGAAAGACTGATTTCATATGGAAGAATGAGTTGAAGCGCATCATTTTATTCACAGACCTAAAACCCGCAAGCTTGGCACTGAGATGGAAAATATGTTAATGGTTAGATTAACGATGAAAACTGCTGTTAAACTCTTAAGATACTAACGAGTACTAATAAGCGTGAATTTCCAGCACGAAGCGGTGACAAAGTAACTAGAAGCATAGCATTTTACTTGCATGCTAATACTTAAAAAAAAAAAATGATAAATTATTATATATTCACGGGGAAAAGGGGGGGGGCGTTAAACCCGTAGAGGTCATACAATGCTTGATGGAATGGAAAGCATTCCAGCTCGATTTCAAGGAATTGGAGCCCAAATTTAATTAATTAAATCAAGAGCCCCTCCTTAAGCAATAATTTCAGGGACTGGTAAATGAAAACTACACTTAAGAAAGTGTTTGCATGGGACACTTAATGCATGCGATACATAATGCATTAACACACGCACAACACATACAACTACTTGGATACCAACCTTTGGCAGTTTTGTATCGAGGAAAGACTCCAGCTTGCAGCAAGACCTCCAGAAGCTTCTTGTGGCCGCGTCGGGCCGCCAGGTGAAGTGCTCTCCATCCTGACGGTAACAAAACAAAGTGAGGGTCAGAGCATAACTGCTTAACCAGGGTGATTAAGCCCAAATGTACCATATGAAGTATCAACAATAAATTCTGAAATATGGGTTTCAGCAAACCCTCAGTGTATATAACTGGCATACACCTCACATATTTATTCTCCCAAACATACAGCACAGCCTATTACTATGAATTTATTTTCATTCGTACAGTTCAGGAAAAAAGTTCGGTTGCCGCCTGTTCGAAGCTTCAATTAACCTGTTTAGTTGGTTTGTTAAGTTTAAAGTCTGTCGCTCGCACTAGGGTTATTTAAAAGGCGCATTAATCCCCAGTAAACTAACTAAAAAAATAGACTCAAAATTCATATACGCTGAGAGATACATTTTCTCGGAGTGAAAACAACTAATGACAGAAGCCTCAGGAATCTCGTCTGTTCAAAGTAATACCAAACCATAACCTAGTTATTATCACCACCCGATCAGAGCTCTACCGACCCTTCAAAGAGCCCTTCAGTCAATGAAGGGCTCTCGATATCTCAAATCACATAAATTATATTCATCGTATTTGTTTTACTTTGAAATGTAAATATGTTAACCTAGTTTACTCTCGTTAATCTGGATTATATTTACATTAGAGGGGATCAAACGCGTTTCGTTATTCTAGTATAATACTGCGCCTTTTTGCTTTTTTAAATGGGGTGGAAATTCTGCTGTCACATTTTTTTATGCTCTTTTTATCTTTTAACTGGATGGCCCGTAAGCCAGCTGGACTTATATATATATATATATATGTCGTGCCGAATAGGTAAAACTTTAGATTTTGGCTTAAATAGCAACGCTCATCTTGCCGAATAAGACAACCGAAAAAATTTTGTATGCAATGATTTCGCAAAAATCATTCTGAACCTAACGAAAAAAATATATTTCATTGTGTTTGTTTATTATTAATGTTTATTATTAATGTAAACTTATCTAAAATATATTTAGTTAATTGGGCTAAATTAAATTGCGTTTATTATAATAAGATAAGGTAAATTTTCTATGGTTCTTTTGGTATATAAGTTATTAATTTTTATATTAACATAAATGAAAAAAATATATCTTTAAACGTATAAGAGAAAATTTTAGAAAAGATTTATTTTTAAACGAGTTCTTGCTAACGGACCAATTTTACCCAGTTAGGGTGACCCGAAAAATAAGAAACACTTTTATCACTCCATCACTGTTTTGCCAGAGGCGTGGGGGGGATTATAATAGTTCAAAAACTGCGACCATATCTCCACCCCTCCTTCAGAGCGAGTGCAAGCACATAGTTCCTTGATAAAAGTGAGAAATCACGAAAGCTCTTGGAATTCTACTAAATTTTTTTACAGTGGTTATTCTGCATATTATAATATAACCTATTTACTGTGATCTTATTTTCATATATATAATATAATATATTATATTTTATAAAATATATATATAAATGTGACTAGCCAAAGACTCGAACCCCATGTTGTTTTGGCCGGCCTCACGGTGAGCGAAAACTACATGTAGGTTAAAGCGTCATGTGGTTTCGCTCACCATGAGGCAGGCCAAAACAACATGGGTTCGAGTCCTTGGCTAGTCGCATTGTTGTTATTGATCAATACTACTCATTCGTGGGTACAATAATATATATATATATATATATATATATATATATATATATAATATATATATATATACTACAGAAAGAGAGAGAGAGAGAGAGAAAACATAACTTTACACTCAACAATAATCTTACCTTCCTGACCCTTCAATGTACTGCCAGCATTTACGTTCACTCCTTCCTCTATGAGTTTCTTGACAGAGTCGACCATACCGCAGGCGGCAGCCCGCAGGAACTGCTCCTATGAACAGCAACACTGGTGGTTAGTTATTCTGTACGTGGCCTATCTCACTACCCCTCTCCTCATTTCCTTGACATCAGCAATACCTCCACTTCCCACTCACTCTATCCCCTTCCCGAGAATAACATTTCCAGAAATTCACCTCAGAGCCTTTGCGGTCGAGGAACTCCACTACGGCCTTGACTCTGGCAGCCTTGGCCATCTGCAGAGGGCTGAAACCGTCTCTGTTGATGACGTGAATCAGCGCCCCGTTTTGCACCAACCACCTAACAGCCTCCAGGTTACCGTTGTCAGCCGCCAGGTGCAGCGGTGTTGACATGTCAGGCACGGAGGCCACCGTTATGTCACATCCATAATCCTTCAGCACACGTAACACCGGCACGTGACCTCCGAAAGCTGCCCAGTGGACACCCTCGCGACCTGACAATTGAAGGAGAAAGTGATGAAAGAAGAGTTATGGGACTGCTGAATGAAACAAGCAACACCTGGGTATCTTTACTGATGATACGTTTCTCCAGCCACTAGCTTTTTATATAGTATACTAGAGACAGTAAAAAATATATCAGATATTATAAATTCATTGTAAGATTCCAGAGGAAAGATATCTCCAAGCTATGAATTGCCAGAAATTCTGTGCCTGAAATAGTATTTTCATAGATGTACATTCTTCTTCACAAGAAACAATATATTATATATATATTTATATATATATATATATATATATATATATATATATATATATATATATATATATATATATATATATATTATATATATATAGAGGTGGTACTCCCTATATATATATATATATATATATATATATATATATATATATATATATATATATATATAATATCACAAATCTTTCTCACACCTACCTTGAGCTACAGCTCTTGGGTCGATGCCCAGTTCAAGAAGCTTCTTCACTACTTGAGCGTGTCCTCCCCAACATGCCAGGTGTAGAGTCTGCAGTCCTGTGGGCAGAGAGGACAACGTACTCACACACATCTGCTATCACCCAACTTATAAATAACACGAAATAAAGTGTGGATGAATGAAATAAAGAATGTAGATGGATGATGCAGAAACAAAACTGAGAACTCCACAGGTGTGAGGCCACAGGTGTAATACCTGCATTAAAGAATATTGCCTGTGCAAAGGTAGTATTAGGAGAAAGTGTTAAAAACGTGTGGATCAGTGGATGGTTCAGGATGGAGCGCAACTTGTCTAAATCTTCCTTCATTCGCTGCCTGACTACGGTGGAGTGCGGTTGTGCCCAGCACCCCTCTGCTGTTTTTCAGGCGAGCTACCACAGTACATCAACAACCATTGAGTAGTGTGGACGTGCGCTGCTCATTTTGGGATATCAAAATGGCTGAACATACAGTACGGAGAGTAAATACTATCTGCATAGAGCTGGTTCGTGGTACGTTAAGTGGAGATACGATGAACGTACTTCTCCCTAACATCATCAGGGACACATATGGTATCCCCAACGAGGAATTATATGGCGTCGCTCTTAATGGTTTGTCAAGAATCTTCGTGAAATTTCTGAGAGCCGGCTTCTACACAAGAATTGTCGAGCAGTACCAGGAACAACGCATGAGTGTGAATTCAGCGATGGATGTTGTGTTACATGATGTTTCTAAGTACTACACATGGGTGAAGGTACGGAATGTACCCTTCGAGGCTACGGCGTATGGACTACAGGAGTTTTTTCGCAGTTATGGGACAGTGCATTCTGCAACCATGGGGGTATGGAGGGATGGTCCGTATGAAGGATGCCGGAAGGTTCTTACACCCTTAAAATGTCTTTAACAAGGCCATACCATCCTATGTAACGATGACCGGTTGTAGAACACAGGTTTATGTGTACTATGCGGGTCAGAGAAAAAACATGTCGTCTGTGCAGCTCTTATGAGCACATGGCAGCCCAGTGTCCTAGGAGGCAGGCTCCTCGAATTCTGGAAACGCCGATTGTGATTCAACAGTCGTGTGATTTGGTGCCTGGCTCTGTTGCCTCTGGAGGCCGGAGGCCTGATCTCTGGAGCAAGGAGGTCGACCGGGAGGTGGCGGAGGAGGAGACGTGTGTGTCACTATCCCAGGGGAGTCGGGGGAGTCGAAGGTGTTATCTGAGGAGTCTTTAGTCCAGGAAGCTTCGACTCAGGAGGGTTTACTGGCAGATGTCATCAAGGATTTTTTGGATGGGGATGAGCCCGGTGTAGAAGGTGTCCTCAGTTTATGTGAAGTTGGAGAGCTGGAGGGACAACAAATTGTGGAGAAAGACTTGAGTAAGAAAAGGCTGGAGTGTGTGGTGGCCGTGGAGGTACACCAGGAGGATTCGTCTGAGGGTGAGATGTGTGTAAGTGGAAGTTCTAGAAAAAGAACTTGCGGCATCAGAGATAGACGAGGTTATTACCCCGGGGCAGAGGCCGGGGAAGAAGTCATGGGCAGCGGTTGTGGAGCCGATGCCACATAGTGCTAGAGGTGCGCCTGAGTTGCACAGTGGGAGAGGGAGGGGGGAGGTGACTGCACAGGATAACTCGAGTGGTAAGGGAATACGTAATGTGAAAAGTGCAGCGAGTAAATCCCAGCGGCATAGGGGAAAGCCGCCACTTCTATAATTTTCAGAAGTGTCACGCTTAATGTCAATGGACTTAAGACTGAGGTTAAGAAAGTTTGGTTGGAGTGGTTTTTACGGCGGTTTGATGTAGATATTTGCTTTTTGCAAGAGCATAATCATAGGGCTGGTTGTGTGTTGCGGTTTAAAAGGAATCGGATGTATGTTTACCAGTGGTTTGCAATGAAAGGTGGGGTAGCAGTGGCGATAAAGGAGACCATGCCCTTGCGTGTCATCGGCTGGGAAGAGGGGGGGGGGGGGTGGGGAGGGTGCGTGAGGGTGGATGGTGTCTGGGGGTGAGAGTCGAGCTAGTTTTGTAGGAGTTTACATGCCAGCAACTAGCAATACCAGGGTAAAAGTAGATTTTGTCAGAGAGGTATTGCTGTATCACTTGAGAGGTTTGCCTGCTATAACAGTAATAGGTGGTGATTGGAATTGTGTGATTAGGAGTGGTGATGTCGAACCGAGAGGGGGGGTGTGTGCTGAGTGTGCTGAGGGATGTATTGCGAGATATTGGGGTTGTTGATGTGGTGGGGAGGGGGGATATAGTGGAGCACACGTTCGTCCGTAGGGGATATGAAGCGCGATTGGACAGAATTTATATTAAGCAGGGTATAGATGTTGTGAGGGTGCAAACCTTCGATGTGGGGTTTTTCGGATCACAGGGCGGTAATAGCAGATTTGATGTGGGATGGAGTGGTGCGTATTTATTCTGGGTACTGGAAATTAAATGTAAGGCTTCTTAGGAGGAGGAGGAGGGGCCTTTTTTCAGTGATTGGTGGTTGCCTTTTTGGGAGGCTAGGGACAGGGAGATAGATCTGTTAGATTGGTGGGAAATGCAGGCAAAACGGGAATAGCGAATTTTTTTAAGGTTAGGGGACGGGAAGAGGCGAGGTGGCGTTTTGGGTTGCAAAATTATCTGGAGGGACAGTTGCAAGATTGTTATGTTGGGGAGGTGGTAGGAGGGATGACATGGACAGTCTGCGGAGCAGGATCGCTGAAATACACAATGATAGGTTTGATGCAATTAGGGTTTAGGGCGGGGTTAGAGGATGTATTGTGGGGTGATAAGCGTCTGGGTTTGTTTTACGTAAATTTAGGGACCGACAGAGTGTAACCACCATTCTACAATTGGAGACAAGCCCTGGGGTGGGAGGGTATCCAGTGGTGTCGAGTCCTATCCAATACTGAAAGTATGAGTCTCTATGCTGATAGTTGGTTTAGGGAGAAAGGAGTTGGAGGGAGGGGGGTCCTGGGAGGGTATTTTTGAAGGGGGGTTCCATAGCATTTTAAGTGAGCAGGATAGAGTGGGGGTTGGAGGTTGGTATTAAGTGAGGTTGAGGTGGAAGAGGCAGTTTTCGGGATGAGTACCGGGAAAACACCAGGGATAGACGGTATACCAAATGATTTTTATAGAGCACATTGGGGGTGTATTAGGCAGTGCTTTGTTAGGCTATTGGATCATATGTTAACTAGTGGGAAGTTGGGCACATCGCAAAGTACGGGTGTCATAGTTTTGGTGCCAAAGAAGAGGGGGGGTAGAGAGTTGAGTGCTTACCGAGCAATATCTTTGATGTGTGCAGATAACAAGGTTTTTGCGAAAATTTGGGTAATAGACTGAAGAAGGTCATGGGTCGGTGATACATGGGGGACAATTTGGTATCCCGGGGAGGAGTATGCGGGTAGGTCATGGACGTATTCGGGATTTCCTTGAGGGTAGTAGTAAGGGAGGTATTCTAGGTCTGGATTGGGAGAAAGCTTATGATTATGTGGATAGGGACTTTTTGTTTGAGAGTATGGTGAGAATGGGTTTTGGAGGGAGGGTGGTTGGATGGGTGAGGACATTGTATGAGAATGCATCGATGAGAGTACAGGTAAATGGTAGGTTGGGTAGTTCAGTAAGCATGGGGAGGGGTTTAAGGCAGGGGTGTCACTCTCCCAAATACTCTTTGCATGTATGCAGAATCCTTTCTATGTTCTGGTTGATGGTGGGATGGGAATGGATGGGGGGAGAGAGGTGGATTTTGTGGGAATATTGTTGGTTATGTAGATGATACAACTGTTTTACTAATGAGATAGAAGATTTAAGTAAAGTGGGAAGGGTAATTGAGATTTTTGGGAATGCTACTGGGATGAGAGTTAATAAGCAGAAATCACGGTTGTTGGAGGTAGGGCAATTGGGTAGGAGGACCTTGGTGGGAGGAGTTTGGCTGGATAACTGTAGATAGGCTAAAGATTTGTGGGATTTTGTATTTAGCAGATGTACAGGAGAGCAGGAGGGTTAATTCAGAAATGGTAATGGACAGAGCTTTGAGTAGGCTGAGGAGTCTAAGGGCCGGGGATGTAACCTTGCATCAAAGGGTTGTGGTGGTAAATACGCTGATTTATAGTAAGGTGTGGGGAGTGGCGGAAATTTACCCCTTAAGAAGTCAGGATATTATGGAATTACAAAGAAGAGCCTTAAGGTATGTGTGGGGTTTTGGGAGGGCGTGGTTGGGTAAAGATGTGGTAATGACTGCGGTAAGACAGGGAGGATTGGGATTGATGGCATTAGGGTCTAGGGTGAAGGCGCTATATGTGAAGCAGAGGTATATTCGGGCAGCGGGGGAAAGGGGTCTTCGGGTGGGGGAGGTGATGGGGGATATCCGCAAATGGTGGGGTGGCAGGGACTTAGTGGAGTGTGAAGATATGTTGCGGTTTATGTTAAAGGTATGCAATGTTAAAAAACTCAAGGTAAAACGTTTAGTGGGTGTGGGCCGTCGTCAGGAATCAATGCAAGGGATGGCAGTGTATCCCACATATGATTGGAGAGTGATATGGGTGGAATTTAGTAAATTAAGAATACCGGCAAGAGCGAGGGAATTAGTTTATAGATTTCTTATGGGGACGTTAGCATCGAAAGAGGTGCTAAGACGAATGGGTTTGTGAGAGAGGCATCATGCGGTTTTTGTGGGGAAGTTTGAAACGGCTTTTCATGTAGTATATTTTTGTTCTGCTTTGGAGGTGGTAAGATTGTGGTTGAAGAGGGTTTTCTTTTTATTGGGGGGGGGGGACAGATATCAACCCTCAGGCTTTAATGTTAGATATGGAAGGGGTACCCAAAGAGGTGGGGAGGGCTATCAGATACGTAATAGTTGATTACTTGCATGTTTCTTGGGGGATGAGGGAGGTGGAGGGAAACATTTAGGATAAAGCGTTGGCGGCGTGTTTTTATAGGACAGCATGTAGGAACAAACAATTATATGGGGGAAGGTGGGTAATTAGTTTTCCGGAGGGATATCGTGAGCTTACTGTTGAACGTCTACTCCGTTTGGTGACGGGGGTGAGAGGCAAGGGGTTGGTCTCTTCAGTGGTGTGTCCTCTTGGAGTGATTGGAAGCCTGATGAGGAAGGTTGATTGGTTTGCAAGGTGGTAGATGTGGGTAAAGTTTTTTTTGCAGGGAGCCGTCGGGGGCTCCGGGGTATGTAGACCTTTATGAATTTTGTAAAATCACAGAGTCAAAAGTAGTATGTGATTTTCTGTTTTTTCTCTTATTGTTATAATGAACCATTTTATATAGGGGGTTTTATATTTATATGTATATTGTGAGGATATGTTTTTATACATTCGAATCTGATGTTAGATTTATCCTTGTCATATGTCTCTTTTTTATCGTATTGAATGGGTACAAAATGACCTATGTACCAAAATATAAAAGTATTTGATGGGGTTTATATATACCCTTCATTTGACTGGAAGGTCATATTATATATTGAGTGTTAATCGGTAACATTAATTTTGTGTGTGTGTAGGTGTGTTTGTGGGAACCAATGTCTTAGGTATAGTTCTATCATTGGATGGAATATTTTTTTAGTTTATTTGGTGAAAAGTCATTTAGTGCTTTATTTCTATGTATGATCCAGTTTGTTCTGTACGAACAAATGCACATACACGTATGTGTGTATAAGCATGCGTATATGTATATGTATACATATATATATATATATATATGTATATGTATATATATATATATATATATTATATATATATATATTATATATATATATATATATGTTTGTAGGACTCATTCCTACATGTTTTATAATGACTCCGACTGTTTGTTTGGAAGTCGGTTGGTTGGGTTATTTTAGTAGAATTTGTTATATCAATGTGTTACAATGTTTTTTGTGTACCTGACATTGTCTGCCACTTCTGTTTTGGATGTTATGTATTTAGTTTGTCTAGTTTTTTTTTTTAGTGATAAGTCTTTTTTGTTTTGTTTGTTTGTTTGTTCTAGTATAATCCAGTCTGTGCTGTAAGAACATATGTGCACATACATGTATGTGTATATGTGCATGTGTATGTATATACATATATACATGATTATAGGACTTATTCCTACATGTTTTATGACTCCGACGTTCTGTTTTGTAGTCGGTATGTTTTTTTTTTTTTTTTTTTTTTCCCGTAAACGGGTTGGGTTTCTTACGGTAGAATTTCGTTATATCAATATGTTAAAATGGTTTTTGTTTATTGTGTGTGTACTGACATTGTCTGTCACGGTTTTGGATTTGCTAATTGTCGGCTTGTATCATGTGTATGTTGTTTTTAAATAAAATATAAAAAAAAAATCTTCCTCTTCTAAGTGCAGTGTGGAAAATTTTTAATAATTTTCATGTACTTTGTGTAATAACTGAAGGGGATAATAGTGTTCATAAAATAGTGTAGTTGTGTATCTTTACTGTGACTTTTAAAAGATCTTAAGTCACATGAGAACCCGGCTCTCTAATTTCCTTATTTATTGTAATCAGTTTAGTAAAATATAATCAATGTAATTTAGAAGAAATTAATATTCTGATAAAGAAAATGTATCATACACCCAGAAATGTTAATGAATCTAAATAAATGTCTTTACCATATATTTCACGTAAGACTTTTTATTATGATAGTGGTGTATGTGTACTGACCTTCTTCCCCTGGGCTGGTGCTTCTTGAAGTGAGGTCAGCCCCAAACGCCACTAAGGTCTCCACCTGCTTCAGCCGACCCTCAGCTGCTGCCTTCACCAGCTGCAGTGGAATAATGAAACTTGTTACAAACATATGTATTTTAGCACAAGAGTCGTTTCCCAGTAAACCAGAGCGACCCAAAGAGGAAAATACATTCACCATTAATAGCACTGTACGCACCTTTTCAGTGGTGCACAGACTAGCTTAACTGCAACATTTACAATAATTTTTTTAAGTGCAGGCATTGTACTTCCCACCTCCATAACTCAAGTCTAAGTAACTGGTTTCCATGAATCATCCCTTTATGTGGTATGACTTGTCAAATAATAACACGACCGTAAACAACTCACTGAACGGAGGGATCGAACCAGTGTACTATCTACCGCGCCATGCCGGCCTAATGAAAGTCATCCAACCGGGTGTATTTCTATACACACTAGGAAGATTTGCATGGGCCTCACTGTGGCCACAGTGCAGGTTCTTACAGGCGAATCTCACACCAACATGACTGTGGAGTGCTCTAGTTCAAGTCTCCTCACAACCGGCTTTGTAGGGACTTGCAACATTTAGGGATCACGTCTCACACTCAAATAAATGTGTTGGCACCACCATATTCTGAAACATTTCCCTTTTATTTATTCATTCACAAACTTCTTTTAATAGATTTTTTAACATTTCGGTTACCTTCTCTCCATCAATTTTCCGTAATAACTCATCTTTCATATTTATATGCTGACATAGCTCCACCCAAATTACTTGATGCTTCTTCCTTACTCCCTGCATTCTCACTTTCAATCGTTCATCTCATACAATTTCTCTATTCCATTTCCACTCTCCTTTGAAATCCTCTTCACCAAGTGATAAATGATGAGGGTATTTGTAATTACGATCAATAAACATCTTGAATACCTAAATTTAATTAGAAAAAGTATCAAGAACAAATTGGCACAATACCGTAACTGGAACAATACACAAATAACTCGTCAATGGTCCAAATCGGACCGAAATGTCGTCATAAGCTTCTTTCTCCTATGTGCGGCTTATTTGTGTAGAAAAAATACGATTAAAGAAATGGTCAAATTTAGTTTACAACTGCCTTACAGTAAGGGAAAATTCTCGAAACACCGAACTTAGGAGAGAAACTTCAGTTGTGACTTAACAATGCCCAAGACGGACTGAAAAGTTGTCTTGTGGTTCTTCTCCCAGGTGCAAGTTTCTGGTGAATTGTTCCAGTCACAGTACTGAGAATTTCTATTCAGTATGGCATAAACCATGGTCGTTACTTTGTTGTTTAATTCCTGTTTGAGACTCCAATTCTGAGCAGCTGTGGCATCTTCTGGAGTATACAGGTATACACCATCCAGCTTAAACATGGTGTCAGTTAGTTTGGGGTAGAGAGAACCAGTTTTCATGACGTCAGTGTCTCTAGCTGTGGTGGCTGACGGAGCTGCTTGTGCGCAACATTCAGCACCAACACTGAAAGGCTCCGGCTGCCCACCACATTCATCACCAGAAAGAGATGAATGCTCTGTTTCTGCGTCACTAACTTGAGGCGAATGATTCGATTCTGCGTCTCTATCAAGGGGTGAATGCTCTGAGCCTTCATGACAAATAACAGCTGAAGGGTTTGGCTCCATATCACAACTTCCAGCCATTTCTGAAGGCTCTGAATTTATACCGCTGCCGTCTTCACTAGGAGCATCAAGTATTAAAGCCTCTCGTTCTACATCTCGATCAACAGCGGTGGGTAGAAGCCCTGTTTCCATACTAGTGCTAGCAGTCACCAGAGCTGAAAGCAACGTTCGTACACCACCGACAACAGCAGCAGGCGATGGTCTACGTTCTGTATGATCACTATCAGCAGTGAGAACAGATGGAAATCCTTGCTGTATACTCCCAGCATGAGCAAGAATGGATGAAGTCCCTTGTTCTGTCTCGTCATCACCACCATTAAGAGCTGAAGGTCCTTGTATACCTTCACCATCAGTATGAACAGATGAACGACCCTGTTCTGTATCACCATCATCAGCAGCAATGGAAAGAGATGAAAGATCCATATAAGTAGCAGTGGAGAAACCCGAAGGTTCCGATCTCGTGTCGGTAGAATCATCCTGATATCCTGCTCCGCTCTCAGCAGGATCACACACTACGTTTTCTGCTTCTCGACACTGAGTGTCATCACTGGCTCCGTACTCACGCGCTAACTGCACCTGTTGGAAAATGAATTAAATATATTGATCATTTTAGAACAAAAGGAAAACTTATAATAATAATAATAATAATAATAATAATAACAACACGTCTATTAACAAGGAATTAAAGCCCGTATCGAGTCCTATCCCAAAACAATAAAGTAAGACTTGAGAGTAACAATGGAAATAAGCTACAACGGCTCTTCAGGGTTATCCTATGTAAGCTGGATGAGGAGTTCATCTCTCTGGAGCAAATCCCACTCTCTTGAAACCAACCCAGAGTGGTAAGGCCACTTGCCCTTTCTTGCTTTCCTCAACTTCTCTACTCAAAATCGCTTCACTGTTCTATCCCACCTTAGTTCTTCCCCTTCCAGTTCTGCCATCGATCTTATGCCCTAACAAAACCAACAGATCAATATGTTATTGTGTATCTATTGCAACCAATATATATGAGACCAATAGTCAGTAAAACTTTATGCAGAGGGAGTTTAAATGAAGCTTATTTTATCTCTGCAAAATAAAGTTGGTCAAATGAGTGTCGAGAATGAAAATTAAGAGAAATCAATTATGTTTATTAAAAAGACGATACAGAGAAAGAATTGAAACTGCTGGATATTGTAATGAGCAAAAATCCATATATGTATTGTGATTCTGATGGAGGTAACGTAAAAGAAATTAATGGATGATACGACTTTGCGGGGGAAAGTGATTTAGTGTGGAGAAGACAAAACTGAAGAACCGTTGGTGATTTATTTGTCACAAAACAGGAAAGTGACTCACAACATGGGTCTTTGACAGCGGATGACACAATCAATAATTCAACAAGCAATGATGTACCTCTGCTGGGACCTAAAGTTTATTCAGCGCTCTATTACGATAAAAAAGGATTATATTCAGTCACCTCAAACCACATGTCTCTCTCACACAAACAGAAACCAGGAAAGCCAAGCAGTGAGGTTTGTTTCTATTGTTTTTTTCTGTCTTCCCCAGGATGCAACCTACATGTTAATACCCTAGGTATTTATTTACTGTAAGATAAAAGGAACAAAAGGACTTAGGAGACCTGTCCATATGTCTCTCCTTGCCCAAAATGCGACCAGAGTTCCTCGAGTTGAGATGAACACGCTACCACTGTGCTGTTACGCTACCTTTGTTTATACGGTTATTCCCTCTAATGCTGATTTGACTTTGTTAGTGGAACTTCACTTCCCATCTGCAAGAAGGATTTCAACGACTATCTGCTTGTTTTAAGTTACCCATAGTTCAACTTCCCGCAGTACTCACCAATATGGCGCTGGCTTCTTGTGGATTCTGCAACAAGGCCACCACATCAGCCCACCCCCTACGGTGTGCACGGTCTTCTGCCTTTGCACCTGTACTTGTCCTCAACATCAGGCGGGGACTTCACGCGGGCAGCAACATGCGGGACGGTGCCTAGGTGCCCTCCTCGGCGGCCAGGTGGAGCAGTGTCGCCTCATCTTGGTCAAGTGTGTGAAGGCTGGCTCCGTGGGCTATGAGCAATTCTAAGACACGAGTGTGGCCTTCTCTAGCAGCGTACTGGGCCGGAGTGAAACCTAGTGAAGGACAAATTTAAAACCATCACACAATAATTACATTTCATAACTCACACTGCGGTGTGTCTAATGGATGTAAAACTCTCTCTCACTGCTGATGTATCCAGTTTTGCATAAATAAAATACCCATGTAAAAATAAATATATACATTTTATTACGTTATCCAAGATTCAATTCCCCATAATTTTTTATCAGTGTAAAAACTTAACCGGCTCCAAAAATTGTCCCAATAGACTGAAGTAATTGTTTTTATTCAATATATTTCTTTGAAGCGTGTGGGTCATTCTGTTGTAACAATTGGTGGAGCCTCGATTAACTGTCTGTTCAGCCTAGAAACAGATACACAAGCCTCGCAGCCTGAAGCACAACCACAGTTATAAAAAAAATCATTTAAATTAACATCTACATATGTGACTAAAACCCCTCACATGTCAACCAGATTATATGACGTTTAACAGTTGCAACAGTGCATTCTAATATGAAACCAAATCCCTCAAAGTGGTAATATAATATTATTGAATTTTAAATGGTATAGCTTGATGTAAGCATGAAATATGCGATACTAACCGGGGATAACAAGCCAGTTCTCCCGATCATAGCGATAATATTACATACTACTCCCTGATAAGGAACACAATAAACACCTCGCTTGCTCTGTTTATTTTATCACAAGCTCGAATACCTCATAATAAAATCGAACTTTAAAAAACCGATTACCAAATACTGTCGTAAAAGAATTGCCCTTTCAGACCGGAAAAAATAATAGAATAACAAGATAAGTGATGACGACGTATATTTGTAGCATAATTCAAACCCTGCAACAACATATAGGTGATTTACTCACACACACAGACTCACAAACACATATATAAACACAGACACTCATAAACACACACAGATAAACGCACACACATAAACACACACACACACACACACACACACACAACACACACACACACCACACACACCCCACAAACATACATAAATACACACAAAACACACACACAAAGCTTTTGACACAGTTCCACACAAGAGATTAATGCATAAGCTGGAGGACCAGGCAGGTATAACAGGGAAGGCACTGCAATGGAAAAGGGAATATCTGTCGGAAGACATTAGCGAGCATGGTACGTGACGAGGTGTCCAGTTGGCGCCTGTGACGAGGGGGGTTTCACGGGGGTCCGTCCTAGGACCAGTGCTGTTTCTGGTAGGGTGTGAATGACATGACGGAAAGGATGAACTCAGAGGTGTCCCTGTTTGTAAACTATGTGAAGCTAATGAGAATTCAGTCGGATGAGGATCAGGTAGGACTACAAAGGGATCCGGACAAGCTGCAAGCCTGGTCCAGCAATAGCTCCGGGAGTTTAACCCCACCAAGTAAAAAGTCATCATCAGAGAAGGGAAAAGAAGACCGCAGACAGAGTACAGGTTAAAGGGGGGGCCAAAGACTGCAAACCTCACTCAAGGAAAAGGATCTTGGGGTGAATATAATACCGAAATACAAATGAGGTGCATATCAACCAAATAACTGCTGCAGCCTATGGGCGCCTGGCAAACCTAAGAATAGCGTTCCGACCCCCTCAGTATACTATGTACAGTGTACACAGTATACTGGTGCTTTATACTGGAGTATATAGCACCAGTTTGGGAAACCACACCTGGTCAAGCACGTCATAAGATTAGAGAAAGTGCAAAGGTTTGAAACAAGACTATTACCGGAGCAAAGGGCTCCGGGACCAGTCTTGTTTCAAACCTCTCGTTTCTTCCCCCCTCCTACGAGAAAAGGAAAAAATCGATCTGACGACACTGGAGGAACAGGGGAGGTTTGGGGGAGGGGGGAACATGACAACGGCATATAAAAATACTGAGAGGAATTGAAATGGTGGACAGGGACAGGATGTTTCAGAGATGGAACACAGCAACAAGGAGTTACAGTTGGAAGTGAAGACTCAATGAGCCAAAGGATGTTAGGAAGTATTTCTTCAGCCCTAGAGTTGTCAGGATGTAGAATAGTCTGGGAATGATGTGTGGAGGCAGGATCCATATATAGCTTTAAGAAGTGGTATGATACAGCTCATGAAGCAGGGAGAGAGTGGACCTAGTAGCGACCAGTGAAGAGGCAGGGCAGGAGCTTTGAATCGACCCCTGAAACCTCAATTAGGTGGGTACAATTAAGGTGAGTGCACACACGCCTAGTAACGACCAGCAAGGAGGTGGGATAGCTGACTCGACCCCCCTGTAACCCCAAATAGGTAGGTGAGTACACACATACACACACACAAATACAATACATACACATTTATATATGCAAAATTACATATATGACACTCCTAAGCTTTCGTAACAAAAGGAGCTAATAAGAATTAAAGATCCATGGTTTCAAGACCCAGAAAACCTTCCATAACTGAACAAGTATGTGTCAATAATGAGAAATCATGTATGGCAAATCAGTATGCATGCGTCAAAAAAGAGTAAGTATGTGTCACAAAAGTTGAGGGGAAGGATTAGCTGGGGTAAATGTATCGTAGCCAGCAACAACAAAAAATCCAAAAACCCAGGTACACCCCTAAGCTTTTTTTTTAGCTAAATCACTGTGGTTTTTTTTCGTCAGACTCAAAGGGAAAAGTTCATGCTGATGTGGGAACCCAGCACGACGAGGAATGAAATAGAAATCACTTGCCTTATGGTGTCCGAGCAAACACCAGTCCCAAAGGGAGGTTCACACCTTACCTGTTACGTCTTTGGGATCGACGGGAGACCCACAACTCAGCATTAGTTCTACAAGGGCCTCATTACCAGTCTCTGCTGCCACGTGTTAGCGGTGTTTTATCTGCAGCAGAGAAGTCAAATAAATTCTCTAATACAGAGGAACATTATCAGATATTATGTAGTAAAGTGTAAGTAGATAACTTTGAAATTCGTCCGTCTCTCTCAGCGGGGCGGAAGATCAAACCCCCAACCACTCATTGTGCTAACTGGCCTGGGCTACACACATTTATCTCTTCACATAATGTTTTAAGCCACATAGTGACCAGTATTTATTTTTACCATAGTAATGCCTATTGAGTTTTACCTTGAGCATCAAATGGCACGATAATTATTATTAAGCTTATACATAATTTTATGTCAGCTACGTTGTATATAGGAAGTACAAAACTTGTCCATGACCTGTAATACGGTTCATCATAAATACTAGTTAATTAAAAAATAGTTTCTTAGTCCCTTTCAGACTACTTGGATACTCTTGTTGTTACCTTGACTATTTTCTTTAAATACGTGATTATTAAACACTATGTCTATGATATGTCAGGCCTACTAAATGTATATTTCTCTGAATACTATGTCTATTAAATGCTAGGACCATCATTGTTATGCTTATTACATTTTTATGTCTTTTAATATCAAAATATATATATATATATATATTAAAAATATATATATATATATATATATATATATATAATATTTTATAAATATATATATATAATATATATTATTATATATATATATATATATATATATATATATATATAAATATATATATACATATATATGCAAAACAACCACTCCGAAAGAATAGAGAAATTCCAAGCGCTTTCGTGACTACTCACATTATCAAGGAACTATGAAAGTAAAGATTCAAGGACGCTATATAAGGGGGGAGAGAGTAGTCACGAAAACGCTTGGAATTTCTCATTCTTTCAGAGTGGTTGTTTTGCATATTCTGAAATCACCTGTTTTACTGTGATTCTTAAATTTCATATATATATATATATAATATATATATATATATATTATATTATAATATATATATAATATATATATATATATATTAAAATATATATAATGGAAGATGAGGTGAATCGTAGAATTGATGAGGGGAAAAGAGGGGAGCGGTGCACTTAGGAGTCTGTGGAGGCAAAGAACTTTTTTCCTTGGAGGCAAAAGGGGGAATGTATGAGAGTATAGTTGTACCAACGCTCTTATATGGGTGTGAAGCATGGGTGATGAATGTTGCAGCGAGGAGAAATGCTGGAGGCAGTGGAGATGTCATGTCTGAAAGGGGAATGTGTGGTGTGAACATAATGCAGAGAATTCGTAGTTTGGAAGTTTAGGAGGAGGTGCGGGATTACCAAAACTGTTGTCCAGGGCTGAGGAAGGGTTGTTGAGGTGGTTCGGACATGTAGAGAGAATGGAGCGAAACAGAATGACTCCGAAAGTGTATCAGTCTGTAGTGGAAGGAAGGTGGGGTAGGGGTCGGCCACTAAAGGTTGGAGGGAGGGGGCAAAGGAAGTTTTGTGTGCGAGGGGCTTGGACTTCCAGCAGGCATGCGTGAGCTTGTTTGATAGGAGTGAATGGAGACAAATGGTTTTTAATACTTGACGTGCTGTTGGAGTGTGAGCAAAGTAACACTTATGAAGGGATTCAGGGAAACCGGCAGGCCGGACTTGAGTCCTGGAGATGGGAAGTACAGTGCTTGTACCCTGAAAGAGGGGTGTTAATGTTGCAGTTTAAAAACTGTAATGTAAAGCACCCTTCTGGTAAGACAGTGATGGAGTGAATGATGGTGAAAGGTTTTCTTTTTCGGGCCACCCTCCCTTGGTGGGAATCGGCCAGCGATTGATTAAATCTGCAGGAGAGTCGTTAATCTTACCTTCCAACTGTACACCTGTTAAGAATACACAGCTGTCGATGTATATACAACGAGATACACACACCTGTTGGTATATATGTATACCTTCGTCATCCTTAATGTATAAAGATTTGCCTGCCTACCTTGGTCGTCCTTGGAATCAACTTTGCTACCCATAGCAACAAGGAGTTGCACCATAGCCTCGTTCCCAGACACCGTAGCCAGGTGCATCGCCGTCCTTCCTACAAGGTGAAAAGCAAAATAAGAGGATCGATCCTCCAAATGTCGTACTGTCGAAGGCGGTAAAGAAAATACGTATTGCAAAACAAGCTGTTATTAAGGCAACGTTTCGCTCTTTGTAGAGCTTTATCAAAGGATGACTTATATTTTAATATGCTAAAGCTGTACACAAAGTGAAACGTTGCCTCGATAATTTTTTTTTCTGCAAGCTATGTCTTTGTTATTAATGTTAAACAATAGTGACAAGTTGATGAATGAGACAGGTGCACCAAGTGGGCAGGTTATAGTCTCTGTCTCGGCTTCACACTGATCAAGGCTGAGACTGAACACCTATCAAAGCTGAAGGACTGATTACCTCATCTTTCACTAGTGGTCTCCATTAAGTAATCTCTGTATTGTATTGAAAAACCCAACTGGATGGCGAGCCCTCTTCATTATAAATATAAACAGGTGTTGCGCATGTGCCTCATTCATTACCTTTAGAATTAGGAGTTAGATAGGAGGCATGACCAAAGAGAAAAAGTTATTTTTTCTGGAGGGTTTTATTATTATTATTATTATTGTTATTACAGAATCATTGGAAAACGGGAGTTGTGGTGAGTAATCTGGATCGATCCGAGGAAAAGGAAGAGTAGATCGGATCCCTTGAATCGTGACTTCACCAACATCAAGGCATTCCTTTTAAAGGGAGTATAAAAATACAGGATGTCAGTCTCGCGAAGGACCGCGCCTCCACCTTTTCTTGTGCTAGGTGACCCACGCGCATTCACAGAACACACAAGAACCAGGGAACACAACAGTAGGCTTATTGGCCCATGCTAGACAGTTCTATCTCATATCCACTCATATCTCCAGGTAAATACAAGTTCAACCTATATTTAAAGCTACTCAAGCCTGCTTACCTCCATGGAGACTAGACCTAAGCTCAAGATTGGCGTTGTTGTCACAGAGGATCCTGGCGAGGCAGAGGTTGGAGGTAACGGCGGCATGCTGCAGGGGTGTAACTAAGGCTCCTTCCTCGCCGTCTACAGGTGCTCCTGCCTCTAGCGCCCTCGACACCGCATTCAGACTCACCTCATCCGGAAGCCGACTCTGATAAAAAAAAATGTTTGACATTTGAAGTTGATTCGTTGGTCAATAGGGCTTAAATCCTATAGTTTATACGAGGGTCATTAAGACTGCATGTCAGCTGTTCACCACCAGTCATGAATACTTAAATCCTTAAGGTAAAAATTAATGGGAACTCTCAATATACACCTCACTGTGTACTATTATATCTGTGTTTACGCGATATATCATATTTAAAATACATTATATTTCTTGTATATCTTCGAGAGTATATGCACCAAGATGTGCATGTTTCTCGGTTTCTATATACTGAGAGCTTATTTTAATCCTTGTTTTAGCAATTAAATTATTCTTGACTGGTGGTGGACAGGTGACATGCAACCTTCATGAACCTCGAGTCGTCAGTAGTCCCTCGAAAAATTGGATTTACAGACCAGGAGCTGTTAACCTACCACAGCTCATTTCAAAGTCCAGCCTTAACATACTGCCACACCTTCAGGATGCCACCCAAAAGTCGACAGAAACCCAGTTACCTATTTACTGCTAGGTGAAAAGGGGCAATAGATTTATATGAGGATAATAAGCTACACGAGGCCTAAAGTGGAAATACTACACTTGTACACTAGCAAGAATACTTTAATCCTCAGGATAAGGATTAAACTGGAAAATATGCAGACAAAGATGACGAAATTTATTCCTCTTATCAGATCTTTTTCTATGAAGTTCAGCTGTAAGAATTGAATCTGTGCTCTCTGGAAAGACTTAGAAATTAAAGGAAATGTGATTAAAGTGTAAAAATGGAAAACTGGAATAAAGATGATAACAATAACGTGGTGAAAGTGTCTAACCAAGACAGGATTTGCAGCAATAGATACAAACTGGAGAAATTTAGATTTAGAAAGGATGTAGGGAAGTACTAGTTTGGTACTAGAGTTTTAAACGAGTGGAAAAAACCTTACAAGTAGCATTATTGTTGAGAGAACTTTAGGTAGCTTTAACCCTTAAATGGTCCAAACGTATATATACGTTTTTTCAACATCTGAAAGTACGTAAAAAAATGTAGATCTTCTTTTTTGTTTTACATTTGAAAACGTGTAAAAAAAACTTTTATCTACATTTTTTTTGTTACATTTGAAAATATGTTAATAAACGTAGATCTACTTTTGTAGCAGTACGAATTTGAACGTCGATTTGTTTGGACCGTTTAAGGGTTAAATATAGGTTAGACGGGTATATGAGTGGATGTGAGTTAAACCTGCCTAGAATGGGCTCGCTGCAGTGTTCCTGAGCTCACTACATATGGTGGCTAGAATATTTTACATTTATACAAAAGCACATACATTGTATACAACAGTGCATACATGTATGCATACATCATATGTGCGCATAGATCATATGTACGCATACATCATATGCATACATTATAACAAATAATGTAGAATAATGCTAGGGTAAATATGAAGGAAAATTTGTGTGCATGTTAATGTGACGGATGTGGGTTGGTTGTGTTTAGGTGTTTGTTCCAGAGAAATGCAGACGATAACACCGCTTACCAGCCTCTCTCCACACTATACTCTGGAGTAGTAAGTGATCTGTTGTGCTAAGAATATGTGGAAGTCACATAACTACCCGACTCTCTGACGATCTTTAGTCCTCAGTGTGTTTATAGTGTTTGTCTAGTTTTCTTGCAGCTGTTCCCCTCAAGGGAGGTTCCTTGACGCTGGTGAAGGGCTCTTGATCTAGGGAATTGGATCTGTGCTCCAGTTCCCTGAATTGAGTCTGAATACCTTCCATCCCCCCCCCCAACATGCGCTGTATAATCCTACGGTTTAGCGCTCCCCCATGATTTATAATAACTAGCTGTGGCACCTCAGCTCTTTGAAGAATTTTAATTTTTTTT